CACACACGTGCACACACACACCTGCACACACACGTGCACACACACACCTGCACACACACGTGCACACACACACCTGCACACACACGTGCACACACACACGTGCACACACACGTGCACACACATGCACACACACACATGCACACACACGTGCACACACACGTGCACAGTTCCCGGTCAGGAGGCCCGGGGAACAGCCCATGAAATGAGCGGCTCTACTCTGTTCCAGCCTCTGCTTCCATTCTGGGCCTCAGTGGTCAGAGCTTCTCTTATCTCCACTTTTCTGGTTTTCCCCAAAACTCTCCTTTAAAAAAATATAGCAGAAACCTCCTTTGATGAGTTTCGTGCATCTAATACTGCACATACATTATTTTAACCCACTGAAATGCCAGTGAAACTAAATCAGCAGCTTAAACTGACATACATGTTTTAGTTGGTGACATTTTAAAAAAGTGAGAAAGGACCTCATTATAAGCCAAAGTGGGTCTTATAGGGGGAACAAATGTCCAAACACATTAGGAAAGACGTTTTTTTCTTCTTGAACTTGCCCCTTTTTTATCTAGACCTCAAATCTACTTGTTTAGGTTTAAAACTCAATGTAATAAATTAGACAGAGAAATTCCACAAGGCATTGCTATCTAAATCGTTTCTTTTTCTTTGGAACATAGGAAGAATATAAAATAAAATGAAAAAAAGCTAAATAAGTGAACATGTTCTGATACCTAATTGATATTTTTTAGACCTTTTTTCCTGCCGAACATGCAGCGTAATGCAGGATTTCTCTGTTTGCTGTAGCAGGAAACAGACTTTAGGACACAGTTCAGCTACAGATGAATTCTGCTGGAAAACCTCCAGGAGCTGAGCTCTGGTTCTGAGCCACATCTCTGTGTTTTCTGAGCCACATCTCTGTGTTTTCTGAGCCATTTCTCTGTGTTTTCTGAGCCACATCTCTGTGTTTTCTGAGCCATTTCTCTGTGTTTTCTGGTTCTGAGCCATTTCTCTGTGTTTTCTGAGCCATATCTGTGTGTTTTCTGGTTCTGAGCCACATCTCTGTGTTTTCTGGTTCTGAGCCACATCTCTGTGTTTTCTGAGCCACATCTCTGTGTTTTCTGGTTCTGAGCCATTTCTCTGTGTTTTCTGACACAGATATCTGCACCGTACAGGTGCTGCTGTCTGCATGCAGAATGTTAAATGTTGAGGTGAGGAAAACTCTCGGTGGGAATGGAGCCTGATTTCAAAGCGGGACTTTCACCGGGGAGAGAGTTGATAAACAGCCCCCACCTCCAGGAACAGCCCACAGCTTTCACTATCTCTGTACTGAAACTGTTATTTTCAGGTTTAAACCTCCAGGAACAGCCCACAGCCTTTACTA